CTACACTTTCTTTTGAATACATTCTTGCTATGCTTAATGTCAGCTAAAATGTTGCTGCTCATATCTTTCTTTCATCTAGTATATTTATAATAAGATGTAAGAAAAATACAAATGTGTGAGAACAAGGGTGCAAATAAATGGTAAATGCACGTCTAACATATCATCTCAAATCTAATTTTGTTTACAGATAAAATGCGATAATTCAATACGACAGCTACATCTAAGTGCAGCGATATAGTTATGCATATCAGTAGCATCACAATCTACAACACTAGCCATGAATGAAATGTAGTAAAAATTGGCAGTTTGTAAAGTTTATGTAATTTTCTAACAGTTAATCTTTAGTTAAAAGTTACTTTTCTATCTTCCTGAATTTCAGCTTACAACTTCCAGCCAGAATGTATTTCCAGAATCGTGTTTGAATATAAATGAAGAAAAGTATTTAACTGTTAAGTTCTACTGACTTCGTGAGAGAGCCAGTGATTCTGACTAGTGCGTGTTCGCCTTTTTAGGCTACTCTATCTCTTAAGCTATTATTAGGCTCGGCTGTACTTTAGGCCCTTGATAGTTTCAACGTTAGTTAGCATTAAGGGGGCCAACTCTTAGAATCTTGATAGCTTCAACGTTAGTCGGCTATGTCTTTTTAGTTAAGTTTTATTGATTATTATTCCTGAGTTCAAGCCCAAGTGAAGGCTTCATTGTAACTTTAAGAAGGAGTTGTCTGTTAACTTTATTTTGAATAATAAAAGGTAATTGAACCTTCTCACGTTTTGTTCTCTGTTTCATGAACTCAAGCGATTATTTGCTTATCAGTTCTTAAGGTTCCTCAATTTAACTGTAACTTAAAGGTACTCAGGTTGGAATCTTACAAGTTAAGAAAGCATTTTTGAAAGCTAATATGCACTACCATGGAAAAATAAAAGAAAAACAACAAAATAAAACAGAATCGTTGCTGGTCCCATAGAAAGATCTCGACTTTTTAAGAGGAAATGGAATCTCTCCATACAACCATCAACAATTTATGAAAATTTCGTTTCAAAATCTCACAAATCAAAAAAAAAAAAAAAAAAAAAAAAAAAAAAAAAACTTTAACTAACAATTTAACATATCTGAATCCCATCTCATAAATTCAATTCGCAGGACTCTATACAACCATTAACAATTTATGAAAAGTTCGTTTCATAATCTCACAAATCCCCCCTAAAAAACCCTTTAACTAATAATTTAACACATCTGAATCTCATCTCATAAATTCAATTCGCAAGATAGTTCCCCAGCAGGCTGCCAGACCATTTCAATCAATAAAAATCAAAAGCACACAGAGTAATCATACAGCACAATACTTAAAACAAAAAGGAATAAAAATTTAAATAAAAATGAAAGAAAGAACTAAAGAGTTACACAAAAACAGTTAAAGTTTTACAAAAAAGGTCAAAATTAATTTTAAACTCTATTTACATATGACTACAGCAAAAGAAAGTTGAAAATGGTGCCACAAGAGAAATAAGTGTCTGACGCTAAGGGTTGCCAAGAGTAAAGCAAAATGCACCAGTTGGCTGGATTTGAAATTGGAAGGGGTGCTTCTGGCATGAATTTTCTTTTGGTGTGACAAAACAGCAAACAGATTAGAAAACTGAATTTAAAGAACTATAAAAGATGTTTTAACTGTACAATTAAGAAAAGAGAATAACTAGAATTTTAGAATTAATTCTGACTGTGAATCAAGGGAAAAATTTTTTTACAGCGATAATATTTTTACGTTGAAAAAAGGTAGCAGCCAGAATATTTACAATTTTTTTTTTATACAGTTTAATTACAAAATATACAAATCTTTAAATCTCCAGATATTTTCTTTTGTCCTCCCACAGGTTTGAGACGAGCTTATCACTACTTGTTAGCTTAAAGCTTAGATAAGGTATTTAAAAGCAGCTTTATTAAGATAATAGTTGATAAAAGTTGTGGTAATGTTTTTGTTTTAGCACTTGTGTTAAGTAAAACAATCTCTTAAGTCATGAACATCTGTGCATAGTCTTTTAAATTATGTATTAATTTGGTTGAGTATTGTATTACCAATAATTTACTGAGAGATACTGGAGTTCCAGTTATTAAGTTTAATTATAGAAAATTAAAGATTCTTCTTTTGCCCAAAACTTTCTCTTATAGAGTCTCTCTTTCTGAGTAGTGTGCAGTTGGGCATTATCCTTCTGATAAAGGGCATTGGGCAATCTCTGAGGGTAGGGAAGTGTCCCCGGCTGCAGCACATTATCCACGTACCATTGGGCCGTCATAGTGCCCTGGAATCGTACGTAATTGTACCCCAAACCATGGTGTTAAGTTGTCATGCAGTGGGGCATTCGATAACTGCTGCCAGATTGGACCTGTCTCCATATCAACACCAAACTCGCACGGGACGGCTATCATTGGAAAAACAGAAGCGTGACTCATCTGAGAACATGACCCTGAGCCATTCCACCATCCCCATCGCTCGAGCCGGCACCATTGCAGATGTTGCTGTCTATGGTAATCTTCTTAACAGATGCCACGAGTGGAGGCCACTAGCAACCAATTGACGATATGGGAACATTCAGGGGATCTTGAACATATGCTGCAAAATGGAGACAGAAGTGGCTGCTTCATTGCTTGTCAGTGTATGTATTGATCCACGCGTGCTGACGTCACTCTGGCTGCACAGGCACATCTCGAACTTGCCACATTTCCCTGTTCTAACAATTGTTGCTACAGCCTGTGCACTTTGGACGTGTCCAGGTGTGTGCCAGCTGAGATTTGTTGTATGGACCAGCCTGTCCTTCTCAGTCCGGTCACCAAGCCAGTCATAAAATCGTCTGTCTGCTGGAACTGCCTCTGTTGATGATGGCTTGACATTCTCTGCTATTACATGTGTCCTCTGAGACAAGAACAAATTTTCTTAGCAGAAATAATGGCACAAAAATTGAACATTCTACAGGTTCCTTCCCTTAAATCTTCTTCAACATGTGCTGGAGAGGTGCACATTTCACATAACTCGGTAACTTGCATCCATTCTGAAATTTGCATAATTTTTGGGCCACTCCTTTTTGGTGTTACATTTTCAATGTTGGATAGTGTATATATAGATCATGCTATTCTATTTCTTGTTGACCCTTATTCGTTTTATTAATTTTTAAGCAAAAAGGAATTTATTTTGGAATTTTTCTATTGCATCAAAATTATTAAATGTAATAATATCATCAATATACCTGTAGGTGTTAGCAAAAAGTTTTAAATAAGTTTGGTCCAGACTGTTGAAACTTAAATTCTTGAGTAAATATGAAGATGCCAGAAAATTGTGTCAGGAGTTTCATTCCCATAAGAATGCCATTTACTTGTTTAAAACTGTGTTATGAAATTTAATATAGTTATAAAATAATGTGCATTCAAGGTAAGTTGTCCATTTATCTATTGTAATTATTGTGAGCATTTCTCAAAACAAGTTGGGAAGTTGTGGGAGACTATTGTAAATTTCTTGTAACGGTAAACTAGCATATAAATTCTCAAAATCATAATAGTTAATTTATTTCAAGTTCTTTAATAGTAGAAATGATGGTAAACCTATTATTAATGCTCCAACAAAACTTGGGTTCTTTTCTAGCAGAGTTAAAAATAAAATTATTAATTCTTTTAAGCTGTTATGCAAATAAGTAGTCAATGTTCATTTATAATTTTTAATTTCACTGGAGATAAATCTGAATTTAAGTAGTTTTATGGAATTTGAGAATACCACAGAGGTTAAAAAATCTATTACATTCATTGAGAAAAGAAATTTCACGTTTGCTTTATCTTGTTAATAAATGGATTTTCTTTTTCAGTAGTTATTTAATGGGTTGATGGAGTTCAGTACCTAGGTTGATGTTAATTTTTTTTTTCAAACAATACTGAAGTTATTACTCACCTTATCTGTTTTTGTGATATTAAATTTCTATTTAAGAGCAAGAATCACACCTTGAAGTTTGTTTCTATTTAAATTTTGTGAAAACTGTTGTTTGATGTTGTCATAAAATTTTACTTTCCATTCTAAGAATGTATTGAATGGAAACTGAAGTTTATAACCTATTTTTTACAGCATTTAAATTTTTTTATGCTGTAGACAGACCTACATTTAGAACCTAATTTCATAACTTCTTTTAACTGTTGAACTTGGATAAATACGTCCAATGCTTAAATTACGTCTAATGCTTTGTTTATGGTGTTAATTGTTTTAGATTTTTATTGATTCAAATGGTCTGGCAGCACATAGCAGAATTATCTTGCAAACTAAAATTATAAGAAGAAATTTGGATATGTTAAATTGCTAGTTAAGGGGATTTTTTCGGATTTACGACATGATGAAACACACTTTTCATGAACTGTTGATAGTTGTACGGAAAGATTTAAATTCTCCTTGAAAAGTTGGGATTTTTCTATGGAACCAGTAATGATTTTTCTGTTTCATTTTTTTCCAATAATGCATATTAGCTTTCTTAATTGCCAATTCTTACAATAACAGCATGCATTTCCTTTCTAAATTTCACTTTGAATTTCCTAGCAGATGATTTCCTTTATTTTCTCTATTACTGTATTGAATTAAATAATATTTTTGCAGCAATCGTACAGGACTTTTCTTTTTGGTCCTTCAGAATAAATTTTCACTAAATTTAAGGTTTTTTGCTTATGTATATATATATATATATATATAAGCAAAAAAACCTTAAATAAATATGACCTTAAAAACCTTAAATATATATAAGCAAAAAACCTTAATAAAATTCAAATGATATCTCAGTATAAAGTAAATATATGTATTACATGTCAAAATACATTATTATACAGGAAAATTCATTAAAATACATGGAATTTTTATACAAAATTGCTGAAAAAAAAAAAAAAAAAAAAAAAAAAAAAAGAAGTATCATTTATCAGATTGATAAAGCAAATTATAAAAATACAGAAAAATGAATGAAATAGAAGTTTTAGACATAGTATACCTTTTCGAACTTTAGTTTTACAGGCTTGGGATTTGTAGAAGTAACAGCATCTGCAATTTCTTGTCCTAGTTTGAAAGCTTCATCTTTACTTCTCCCAGGTAACAGAATAAAAAGACTATCAGTATCACCATATACAACTTTAGCTTTCCACTCAGGTGTATTTTCAATAAGTTGAATTGCTCTCTCAAGAGTTTCACGTGCTTTGCCAACAATGCTGTCAGCAACCTCAACACTTGGCATTCTTCCAGAAAAACTGGCACCAGTATAACCATATGTTACATTAGCAATTAATTTTAAGCCCAACTGACGGGCATCTAAAAGTTTCTTTAAAGCTACATTATCCTTAACTTTTTTCATAGATTGTTTTACCATGACTCTTGTTTTTAATATTTCTTCAAGCATTACAGGAAGAATACCACGGCGAATATTGGACTTGACAAAAGCTATTCCCGTTGGAGAAATATGAATGTCATTCTGAAGTTTATGAAGTGTGGTATCAGATATATTTAAGGAAGTGCATCCAAATTCAAAAGGCACATTTTTACCAAAATGTTCAACCCTACCAAGGCACGTTGAAAAGCAGTAATTATAAGCTATGACCATTGAAGGATACAAAGACTGAAAGTCTAATACAACTACAGGGTCAATATAAAATCGAGACTCGGGTTCTAAAATTAAAGGAACACATTCTGGAGCACGAGCGTGAGATCGCTGATGGACTGAGGGAGAAACTGGGATGTATGATAACGGAGCAGCTGTTCGTAACATCATAGACTCAACTCGGAACTGGGAACCTCTACTCAATACTTCATAGAACTGAATCCCAAAAAGCCGAGCTAATTCACTCGTGCGACCAATGATATCCAACTTTTCAAGAAATTGGAGACAGCCTCTCACTCTGATGCTATAATAATGAATGACTTTTTCTTTCTGAGATCCAAGAAACCAACGAGTTAGGTCACGAAACGTATACAGTGGTGTGCGTCGGTGCAAAACATGATAATATACATTCTCAAAAGTATATACATTGAGAGTGATTTCTTTTCGAATTAGGCGCCAAACATTGAGAACAATTCTACCACAGATAGATATTTCACTCAGATCAGCAGTTTGATCAGTAACAGTATGATCATGTTCAACATGCACAATTTTACTTTCTTTTTTGTCAATTACTCGAGATAGCATTGCATTTAAGTTCATATTTAAACTTTGTGCTCTCTCTGTAAGATAACCCCAGGATGCCATTTGTATTTCATAGCCAATCAAGATATCAGGATCCCACTCCATCACTATACTTGCAAGTTTTTCAAATAATAAACTTTCACTTTCAACACAAAAAACATGACAATTTTTGTTAGAAGATGTAAGAAGAAGGCAATTATTAAATGATGCATATACTTTCTGCATAGAACTTTGAGAGTTTTCAGTCAAGAAGGATTGTCCATTCACTATAATGCCAACTACTTCTTCTTGTTCATTGACACCAATATCATTACAAATACAAAAGAATATTGCAGCCACTGCATCAAATTTGGGGTCAGGTAGCAGATCATTTCGAGTATTCACATGAACTTCTAGGCTCATAACAGTCAGATGCTGTATCTGAAACAAACAGAAAGGGAAAAAAAAATTGAAAATACACTTAGCAAAAATGTTTTATCTTGAGTTAAAAATATGTTATTTAATATTATAAAATAAATAATAATAAATAATAAGATAAATGTTATTTAATATAGTTAAAATATGTTATTTAATGATACACATCATCTGTTCCAAAAGAAACTGAATGATTAATTTTTTTTTTTTTACTTGAACATAAATGCAATTATAGTTTATTAAATTTAAATATGTTCAAAAATGACATTATCTTTATATGCATGAATGAATTTATAGACTTCTTTGTGAGCTATTATAATTTTATGAATTGGGTGGAATGAAACATATCATCATAACATATAAATACACAAGGAGAGTTAAAAAAAATTCAATGAAAAAAAAAAAAAAAAAAGATGGCTTATTTAATACAGAATGTGATCTTCCCTGATTTCTAAACACTATCACAATGCATTTTTCATACCGGCAATAACATCATTAACCACAGTTTGGGGAATTATGTTCCTTTCTATGATAATGCAGTCTTCAGAGCATTTACAACTCTAGAAGGAGGATGTCTCTTTGCAATTGCTTTTCCAAGGTAGTTCGATAAGTTCTCTAACAGATTAAGATCAGGCGATTTTACTGGCAATGTTATTTGCTCAATGTCTTCACTTTCAAGGAATTCATCAATAAAGATTGTTTGATGTGGAGAAGCATTATCCTCCATAAATAAAAAGTCAGATACATATGCACCTCTGAAAAGTCTTACATCAAGTTTTAAGACCACATTCTAATATCTTTGGCTGGTTATAAATATGCTGTTGAAAATAAGTAAAGGTATATGTCCATCATTCATTATTCCTCCCTATACCATCAAACCTGCATTACTGAAACGGTCACACTGAATAATGTTCAAAAGAAGATATCGTGTTCCTGACTCCTTCCAGATGTAAACATATTTAGAATCAAATGCTAAACTAAGCCTCGACTCATCAATAAAGAGAACATGAGATCATTTCTGTTCACTTCAATTCTGATGTTCTTTGTATAAATTAAAGCAATCCCTGTTTGTAATGAAGACAGTTGGCTCTTCGCTTTCTGGCATAAAAGCCTTTTTTGTTAAGCCTTCTATATACAGTTTACCATGCTACAACAGCTGCAGTGGTGGCTTCAAGCTCTGAACTTAACTGCCAACCAACAGACTTCCTTTCACAAGAGGGAGTTGTTGCCAGATATTGATCTGAGATGCAGTTATTCATTGATAACCTTGTCCAGGCCTTCTTACAATACTTTCAGAGTTCTGAAATTGTTTCCATTACAGAAATTCACTCAGATATTCACTTTGTGAAAAGTGCTTTATTTACTGTTAGGTGGCGTAATGCCTTGAATTGCATTTATTGGTCAATTTATTGCAGTAACTGCTGATAAATTTTGATTGGATAATATTAATTAGCTTGCCCACATATGCTACAAAAATAGATTACATCGATTAGATATTTCATGGAGTAGCACTTTCTTGGGGTATGTAAAGATCAATTTGGACATACGTGTACATTGACTTTCAAAAGTTAAGCATGCAATGCAAATTAGCAATTATCAAATATGTAGCTGAATTTGAGCAACTGAAAATTTTTGCAAATATTATATGTTACAGCTAATCATGCCTGACTGTCCAAACATATGTAATTAGGCAGCTATTGAAGATGCCAGCATTCTGATGGCTACAGTAGGTTAATTTAAGTGTTAATATGAAGTATTTATAACTTTGCAGGACAATTTTTGATGCTATTCATGTTTTTTAGGCTAAAAGAAGATAAATGGTAAAAAGTGTTGATTTGCTGTCAGATGACTCGAAGCAGGATAATCCATCAAAGACACCGCTCTTTTCTTTGCCATAGACCATTCAGTAATTTCTTGAACATGTAAATAATTATAAATATATCAAACAGTTGTTTGGAGACCTGCACCCAGTCGATAAAAGGTTACCACCCATTCTGAAGACCAGTATACTGCTATAGTAGTCAAGTAGAATTGACAAGTAACTTCCATAGCTAATACATCCATGGTTGCAGCATTACTTGGTAACACAGTATCTGCCAGTACTGTACAACGAAGCTTTCACATGAAATGACTATTTGCCCACGTACCAAGCATTTGTTTATTCTACTAACCATACAGTGTAGAAGGACAAGATTTAAGTTGGTGTCATCAATATCTCAATTAAACTGTTTCAAAATGGCAGAACATCCTGCTTAAGGATGAATCCAGATTTGCCCTAGAACTGGATGACATTTGGATGTAAAGGTCTGTGTAAAAAGAAGCATGTGAAATTAGGCCCAGAACATAACTGAAAACCATGCACTCAGAGATGGCAGTATTATAGTGTTGGCTGTTGTTTCAATGGGACATGGCACTTGGCTGCACATCTTCAAATGTGATTCTGTGGCAGCGTGCTATCCAAAATAAGTCCTACACCTCGTTGGTCCTGATTTCCTTTTTATGCATAATTATGCCCCTCCAAATCAAGCCATCAACATTAACAATTACCTAAAGAGTAATGGCATTTCTCACATGGAGTGGCCATCATATTACTCTGACCTTACCACTTAAGAAATTTTTGTGATACTCTCAGGCATGCTCTCTTTGCATGTTTACTTTCTCCAACCAGTTTCAGACAACTGGACACTGCCCTAATGAAGAAATGGCTATAACTAACAATTTTGATCACTGGCCACCTGATTGAAAGTAAGGCAAATTGTTGTAAAATTTGGATGAAAATCTGGAGTGGTCATACACCTTACTAATGTATGTTTTGTTTGTTTTTAGCTTTCAATAGCAGTTTTTAATGATCGTTTAAACATCAGTTTTTTAATGATCCTTTAAACATCAATTTCTAAATGACCCAAATGTGATATCCTCATGTAATTTATGAAAATTAAATACTGTTTTCATCTTTGTACATAATGCATGTTTTCTTTCATGCATAAACACATTTGTTACCTTCATGTATAAGGTATCTCCTCCTCCTTCCAGCATGCCTTCATGGTGTAATGGTAGCACACTCGTCGTATATTCGAGAGGTCCAGGTTTGAGTCTTGGCAAAGGCATTGCATATTTCTCATGTCTCCTGCTTTGAAAAACCTAATGATTCTACACATGTGCAATTTTTATTAATTAAAGGTTACTTTTACCTTTCTGTTGATTTTGCCTTTGCATCCTTAACTTTTGTAAGCCATTGTAGCTGCCTTGAGATAAAATATAGCTGTACCAGGCATTGCAGCCACTCTTAATAACGGTGAAATAATCGTCATCTGGAAAGTAGCTCAAACCTATCATAGCAGCTGCCGGAACTTTTCCAAAAAATTCCCCTTGACTGGAGCTTTAACAAATAAAAAAAATCATACACAGCCAAATCAAGGACATAGGGCTGATGAGGAAGCACTGCAACATTTTTTTTGCAATTTTTAAAATTGTAAGGGGGTGTTCCCCCCACCTCACCGTCATGACCTGCAAATATTATGGGTACCATCAAATATTGTCACAACCCTACTCACATGATGCACTGTTTGGCCTGTAGTTAAAAGCATTAGCCCAAACCTGATATACACCATAATGAACTATTTCAAAGTATGATAGAAATGAAGACCATTCTTTTTCCATCACACCAATGAAAAAAGGTAAAATCTTTAACACATCAGTAATGAGAATAGATGGAAACATCATGAAAGTATGAAAGAACTTTTAATGGAAATATATAGGGATGAAAACAAAGGGAGAAGAGTTTTAACACTTTCTGACCAGAATCACCAACCAATATAATTTTAGCCATCAAACAGAATTTAACAGAGGGAAAAATTTCCCTCCAGTTCGAGGGATCATCTGTAAGCTTACAGCAAATGTAAAGTTTTGCACAAATAACAATTTTTATCTTATGATTTGTTTACTTTATTTCAAAAAGTCTTTAGGTGCTCTTACCCATGAGAAGTCATTCACATTTGATATGCACAACGAGGATGATCCTTTCTAGTACTTTTTGGGAATACAAAATTTACCACTTTTTATAAATTCATAGTTCTTGGTAGAGAACAATTCTTTTACATGGGGATGGGAGCTTCATCCCTTAAAAGTTAAAGGACTTTTTTCCCAGAAAAAGGTAGATGTCAGAACTGATTTCTAAGACTTAAATTACTAAAATAATATTTTCGAGATAAAAGAATTTTCTGCCAAAATTGTGATTCTGTTACATAAAAGAAGTGCCAAGGAGGGCAATTTAGGGCTCTGGTAGAAATATAATTTATCTCAAAAATTGAGAAGTACTGGATTTGAGCTTCAATGCAATTTAAACTCTGCTTCAAACATAAGATGCAGCTAAGATGTCTTATCCATTAGTGAGAAAGCAATGATTCTACACAGTAAATTTCACATTATTATAATACCAATACTGTACATGAAATAATATGACATACGGCATATTGTATTATTATTTGTTAATACTGATAATGTCTTGCTGTGCCAAGTTAATGAAACTTCTGAATTAATTTTATGTATGTAACATTCATATCTTGACCTACACAGTGTTCACTGTTATCCATGGTATGCCCTAGAATGAATTATCTGTGGTACTATTTTACATTCAACAATTACCCTATTTTACATATTGCAATTTCATGACAGCCAAACACTTTTTCTTAGATGTCTGATTACCTATGTACTTGCACCTGTATAAACCATACTCCTCTCAGATTTTTAAGTTAAAGGATATCCTACAAGGCCATTTGTCCTCAGTGCTCTACCTTTGATGAATGAATATATTGTCTCATCTGAAGTCCTGCACCCAAAGCAGCACTTTCGTAAGATCATTTTAACAACTGAAGCATTTCAGGAACAGATATACTGAATTTTATGCAAAGCTTTATCATGTAACACTTCTGAAGACTCTTCACCACACTCATGTATGACAAGACATAAAAACTACTTCACTGACTGCTAACATATAGACTGCTACAAAAAGGCATACTCCAATGAGGTCAAACTGTATACTTGGCTTCCCCTCCCTACATGCCTCAAATCCAATTTTCTTCCCTGACATTTCTGTAGAGTGTAAAAAATTAACCTCATTATATTTGGAACAGAGAGTGTAAGTAATTCACAGATTCAATTATTAAAGTTTATCAAAAATGTAAGAAGTATTAAACACATCTCACTTCATGTCTAACTTGCATGTTACCACTGTCTCCAATATTGACTTTGTAACCACCAGTATTCTCAAGAGTAGGTCCTTCAATCTGCGAGTAGGTTAAGTTTCCTGAGGTATCCTTTAAAGAAAAATGAAAGATATTTGCTAAGACTTTATCACAGCCTGGTTATCTATTTATTTTGCCCATATACATTCACTTATGGTCATACTGTTATAATCATTTTTAAAAAGTACCAATATCATACTTCTATTTTTAGATGTCTAAGATTATTTACAAAAGCCTTAATCTATCATTATAGGAAATATTTTATGATAATTACAATGAAAGTACAATCAAAACATTAAATAATTTCATAGATTTGTGCTGTATTAAAAAAATTCTTATTCAACAAAATACCTAATTTTTCTCACAAACCTAAACTAAAAAAAGGATGAAAATATTGACAAAGGTAGACAGAAATATTTCAGCAAATTCTAAACAGATGTTTGACAGTGATAGTTAATGTTTATTGTTTAGTTTCAGTTCAGTGCATATTAATCATAAACTGTGTGACAGTGAGTTATATGGTGTAAACTGCGAGTAGTGCATTTACGTGTAATGAAAACAGAAACCGAGTAGCATAATTTTATCATTTTTTTGTTTATATTAAACTAAGTTTGATATCAATGAAAAAATGTGCAGAGATGGATTCAAACAAAGGATGTGCTTAAGGAAACATTACAAAAATCAGCAATCATTTGGCAGAAAGACAAGGAAATACACCAATCTGAAACCAGATCTTTTCAGACATATCTGTGAAATTTGGGCAAATGGATTTTCTGAGTTAGATGAAATGATTCAGTTCAAAGACCAAAAGATTGTTCAATACATGAAAATTCTCGAAGGTGAATTTAAGAGAAGATATGATTAGCGAAAACACTTCATGTTATGGCCATGAGTTCACGACTCAGCAAAGGCTCAGTGGTTTCCTCACATCTTTCAAAAGAAACTGCTTGCATTTCAGAACTATGTCCTCAGTTTAAGAAAGACACGTAATTTATTTTACAGTAATGGCAATGTTGATGAAACTTCTCTTATTTGATATGCCAAATAACACTACAATAAATTAAGCAGGTAGAACACATTTTTAGTGGGAACAATAGTTTAGAAAAGCAGCATTATGTTGTGCATAACCATTGATGGAAACATGTTGCTATCTTATGTCACATTCAAATACAAAACCCTGCAAAACAAAAACTACAGCCTAGAATACTGATACAAATTCAAAATGAAAGCTGAATAACAGAACAGCTACATATGAACTGGTTAAAATCAGTGTGGTTTTAGCATCCAGGTAAATTGCTAAGAAAGTAGTCAATGGTAGTTGTCAACAAATTCCAAGGCCACTTGATTGAAAATCTGAAAAAAAAGGAGGAAAGGAAAAAAAATGACAAAAGTGCAATACCAAACAAAATACCTGGAATGCGATAAATACTGGATTGTCTATCTACCATCCTCTTTAAGCTTCATCTACAACATTTTCACCATGATTTAACATCAATGACAATGCCAAATGAGTGATTAAGGAAACCATCCCTGTCTCAGATGTCCATCAATTGCAGTTTCATTGAAAATAATGACAAAAGAAAGGGTGTCAGGAAGTTTCAAACTTGCATTTACTTCCAAGTGATGTAAAGGCCAAGAAAATGTTGAAGTAAAGAATGTCACATAAGACACATTGTACAGAACTGACATCTCTGCCTGCACATAATTGATGAGGCTGCTAAAAAAATTGTTTCGACTCTATGTTGATGTTGGTTATATCCTGATGCCAATCTAATACAGGTCATTAAAAAATAATAATTTTATCTAATTATTTCCTTCAATTATGTGTTGTTGCTAATTACAATCCTAGGCTACATTATGCAATGTCCACTGTCATGCTATATTGATGGTATGCCAATGTTGATCATACACCTGTGAAGTGACAAATGTACAATAATTATCTTACTCATTATTACATAATTATAAAAAAAATTATGTTATCATATTGATCTTATGCTTGTAACAAGTGTCAGTTGTATTCTGATGTTGATTCCTTGCCAGTTTTATGCAGTGTCGGTCCTATGAATGTACTATAAATGTGTAGTATGACTCACTTATAATCGAAGAATAAAGATTTAAGTGATGCTGGAAATAAGAGAAAAGTACGAAGTAAAGAACAAGAATGATAGTTATCAGTTTGAAATGAAGACATCGATTACATTTTTTATAGTTCTACAATATACAAAGACAAATAATGATACTAAATTGCTTCAAAATTGTTCACTAACTTGAGTATAGACCACATCCAAAGTTAGGAATAAAATTCAGGAAAGAAAAATTTGGCCAATACACATGTAAATATTATAATTAAATTTTTCCTATGATGACTATTAATAATATCATATAATCTTATTAAAATTCCTAGTTTTCAAATTCAGATTACTGTTTTTTGAAGAAATGATATATTTTAGTTTGTCTCTTGTAATGCACAAAGCTTTTCTAAAATCAGAAGCAATCTATAAAAGTTTTGCCCATTTTTTAGTTGTATGTTTCCTTAACATCTATTTAATAACTATGGTTTTTATCAGTAATATGATAGAGACGTCACATTTTATCTCAAAATACATAAATTTTCCTCAACACAAACACCATTATATAAAACTTAATTCTGCAAAATTTTTAAGGCATTTTTTTATTATTAATCATTATTTTCATCTACTAAACATAAATTTTTTTATTCATAATGAATAAATCACAGTAATAAACAAATATAGATATATCTTTCACTACCAAAAAAAATTGGTAAAGGTGGAAGAGAGAAAAAGAATACAGAAGAAAAACACTTGCAAATTTTTAAGTTTGTTCCCAGATAAATTTTTATTTTAACTGTATTCCCCCCCCCATTTATCCTATCAGAGGACAAAAAAGAAAAAGATTATTTTTACTTAATTGATTTAATGTGAATATTCATTGCATAACATTACATTACGGATATGAATGATCTACTGCAAGAGTAAAAATAAAAATTTACTACGGCAGGCAGCATAAACAGAATGTGCAGGCTAAACTTACTTAAATATAAAAATGTAATTAAAAGATCTATATGAATATTTTTATAGAAATTATAAGCTATAAATATAGTAATCATACCATGGTTTTGTTTAGCATTAGCTTTTCGGTCCAGTCTTTAAAAGCATGTGTTTTATTTTCATGCCTGATTTCTTCAGGTGCTTTTGCAGTTTTCTTCGGATGCACATCTAAGTCCATAAATGAAAGCTTCCTTTTTCGCTCTTTATTATCCCTAATCAATAAAGGATTGTTATTAATTGGAGATATATTTAAATCGAAAGGAAGACTTTTTTCACACTTCTTTGTACTTCTGGGGGTTGATTCATAATTAGTGGCACATGAGTGCATTTTTATAACACTAGATTGCTTGTAACTCAGAGGAGTATTTAAGTGACTTTTATTTGTATTTGATGAATGAAAAACAAATTCTGGAGAAAAATGTAATTTGGTGACATCATTCTGTCTTAAACTTTTATTCGAATTATGGAATGGAAAAGAAATATGACAAATATTGCCATCTGAAGTGTCCAATTCTGAAAATGTTTCAGTACTGTTTGAGCTATCAGAATCCAAGGAATCATTACCAATTTCTTTCAGACTCTCTTTAAATTTACTTGGTGAATCCAAACCTATACTTTTTAATGTCAGCCACTCTTCCACCTCAGCACGTGAAGGTGGCATAATAGTAGGCACCACATTTACTTTAGATGATGTTTCAGTAATTTCAGAAAAAGAAGAATTAATATCTGAAGCAGAACATTTTTCAATTTTATCATTGCTTTTTGGAATAACAGTACAACTATTAAAACTATTTCTGTTATTATATATTGCACCTGTAGCTTTTACTTCAGATGCAGATTTATTACTTTGCAATAAACTTTCCAATAAATTATAAGATGATTTAGAGAAGTAAATATTATTTGAACTACCAGAGTTTCTTACTTCAGAAATATTCTGGGATGTTCTTTCTTCACTGGAATTGATAAGTGTTTCTTCAGAAATGTTTGAGGTCTGCAGATCTGAACACCATGATAAATTATGAAGATCTGATAACCCTGAATTTATGGAAGAATTTAGTCCATATAATGGATCATCCCCATAAAAACTGTGTATCATGCTAGCAAACTCTAAAGTATCTTCAATAATTTCAATATTTTGACTTGATTTCTCAATTTCAGATTTTTGTGTACACAATACATCATTATTTTTGCTATAGTGATGTTCTACATTAGAAAAATTTGATTTCGTTATAGGATTAATTTCAGAATTGCACTTAGAGTCCAGCTTTTGCGCTAATATGCCATTATTTTGACTTGAAGAGGTAACAGCATTTTCTCGATTTATTTGAAAGATACTTTCATTGGATGAACAATTTTCAATTATTTCATAAGAAAATCCACTCTGTTTTTCACTTCCTGAGTCTATTATTTCTAGTGTATTATCAGTTATTTCATTAGAATTAAGGTTTACGTCGAATTCTTCACCAATATCACATGACTTTACAATCATGCTAAGTATGTCTTCTTCACCACTAAATGCATTTTCCAATACATTCATAGATTGATCTACTTTTGCATCTATGTCTGAAGTGCTGCTTACTGAACAACTCTGTAACAAATCATTACCTTCAAAAAAATTAGTACAATCCTGTTCATTTGGTGGGGTTTCACTAATAACAATTGAAGAACTGTTGCCAAAATAATTTTCAGATTGATTCACTGTTTCTGAAATCCCTAAAACAGGGAAAAGATTATTTGATTCAAAATCTGAAGGTGGGTATTCATTAAAGCATATGGGATTGTTCTCAGACTTATTAACAGCTAATACTGGAACAGTATTATTTTTGTATGATGATACTAATACACTTGAAGTATCAGCTGCAGTGATTATTGCAGTATTACATATGATATCTGTTTCCAATTTTGGTAACTTTTCTTTTGGGACAATATTCACATTGCTTTGTTCCCGTTTAAATCCAAAATCATTACACAATGGCTCAATGAATTCATGACTTGATTTCTCAGGAAAACTTTGAAGCAAATCTAATTTTGTAGATTCATGTAGTTTAACATTTTCTTTATCGTTAATATCACTAGGATAAAGTTCACTACTTTCCAGATTTGTTAAAGGTGGAATTTCAGGATCATTAAGCAACAGGTTCATATCATTATCATTTTCAAAAAAAAATTCTTGAAAGTCCAGTATCCTAACATTCGAAACTGTTTCTTTACTTATTTCACTAAGAGTTTTTTCAAAATCTGACTGAGGCATAGGATTAATATCAGCTGGAATAAAGTTCCCTTTATCAATAACATTATTCTTAATATCTTTTATACTACTGTCACTAATTGTCTTGTGACCCATACATGACTGTTCTTTGAAATTATTTACATTCTGATCTTCTGGTAATGAAAAAGAAATGTTGTTAGAAGTATTGCTTTCAAGATTTGAAAATAAGTTTCTAAATGAACTGTTATTGCAAGAAGTCACAAAATGTTCTTTCCTGTGATGTACATTATTAGATGAATAATGGCTCTCACAATCATCTCTTGACATTGAAGGAGACATCGAAGAATCACACTGATTCATAGCACTGCTTGTATTCATATCTAATTCTGGCGACAACTGTTTTGGCAGAGAAATTGAATCAGAATAATTTGATGGTTTAATTTTATCTGCATACTTACAATCTGTTTCATAATGCTTTTCATAATCTTTCTCTTGCTCAGGTGAAAAACAACAAGGTGGAGATCCTTGGACAGAACTGTAAGCAGGAGGAGATAAATAAGATAAATTCCACAATACACCCATATCCTCTCGTTCAACACTAGAAAATACTTCACTGGGTTTTTTTAATACTTTATCTATGCCACTGAAAATATTATGAAAATCCTGTTTAACAGGATCTGCTGGTTCTGCATAAACAGAATCCATACTCTTGTCATTGTCATTGATTCTTGGTGAAGCATCTAATTTATATTTGAGAGGTGAATTACAAGCTGTAGGAAAATTAAATAAATTGTCAAAACCTTTGATATGCTCTGATACTATTTTCTGATCTATAACAGGTGATGGAACAGAAAGAACTTGTGGCTCCTTAGTTATATCTTTCAATAAATGCTCTTTTTTATCTTGCATTTTGTACAAGTATTTATCTAGTTCATCAGAAGAAAGTCTTTTAATTGCAACAGCACATGGTTGGCATTGAGTAACCTCTTCGTTTAATTCCTCAGTTCTTGAATCCATTCTAGCAAATGTTAATTTACAGTAATCTGAAGTACCAGAACTTCTCCCATTTTCAGAGACAAAGTTATTTTGAACACACAGACTATTTCTCCGAATCAAACTTTCAACTTTTGATTTACTGCTGACAGTAGCAGATTTAGATCTTAGTCTAAAACTGCGAATATGCTGAGATTCAGTAGGCATATAACATGTTGTTTCAGAATTTATGGAAACCTGATTTTTTACAACTTTAGAATCGATCTCTACAGTATTGCACTTAAAATCAGTCACTTCGTGATTAACAGCAGTTAATTTTGTTAGATCCTGCATACTCTCATTCATATTTTTTAAATCCAATTTAAAAGAAGCAGCATTCTTTAAAGGTGAAACTTTTTTCACAGGAGAAAAACATTTTTCCTCCTTTTTTCGCCTGTTTAATGTTGATTTGTTTTTAACTTTTTTCTTTCTAACTGATTTATCTGTTTCAACAAGATAAGTATCAGTAGGTATAAAATCCTTTGATAAAGTAGGATACACTGGTGTGTATTTACTTGATAAAGAATTATCTTTTGCCTTTACAGAGCTAACAGGCAGTACATTTTGTTTATTTCTGACAGAATATTCTTTTTCATGTTTAGAAAATTTATTTGACTCTCCAGGTGCATGAGAGATGATTAATGGTGATACAAATTTTCTACTAACATTTGATTGTGACTTATGTACCAAATTTCTTCTTCCCAAAGACTTTTTCAACCTACTTTTATGACCCTCTACATATGTCTGTAAGCTTGCAATTTTAGGTGAAGATGCATCACTTGTTGGAAGTAATTCAGGTTTTATATCTTCAGGTGCATCTGAGCTATTGTCATCATCAAGCCCTTCTAGTTCTTTGCCTACAACAACAATTCGGGGCTCATTACTCCTAGTCAATATTCTCTTAAGTTTTAACTTCATTCTCAAGCTACTTTTCAGTACAGGTTGTTGAGAAGTTTCAGAATTTTTAGTATCATTTTCTATGGGTTCTACTTTAATTGTGCTAATTACATTGGGAGAGCTATTTAAAACAAAATCATCTTCAATCTCTACTTCTTTTTTAATTTGAGTGACGTCTAACATCCCCTCATTACACATATCTGGATTCACTTCATGCACTTTGCTAGAGGTTGTATTCTCACCAAACTTAGAAGCATGTCTTTCTTCTGAACACTTTTTCTTCTTTTTAGCAAGCTTACCTAGTTTAAAACTTGATTTTTTTGAAAAGATATTTTCTCTATGTTCTTTAATATTGGACAGTGTTAAGGTTTTCTCTGTCTTTTTTTCATCTTTTTGACACCAATCATGAGATTTATTCTTCTTAATAGTAAATTTATCTGTCCCTTCATTTAAAGCACAGAAATATAAATGTTTTGAAGAGCTTTCATAACTATGTGAAATATCCGTGTTATCAATATCTCTATGCGAAATAACAGAATTTGAAGATGATTCAATACTTTTTGTTACTGACTTATTAATATATATAGATTTTCTCTTTGATTTATTTCTCAGTGGTTTATAAATTTTTGCTCCATGTTTTCTCTGAAGTTTCTTTTTAACTGTTCTTTCTTTACACTTAACAGACATATCAGACAAAGAACTTACTTTGAATGATGTATCAATTGAGGAAATACCACTTACAGCTTTTCGTTTAAGGTACAAGAATTTCTTTTCTTTCTTCTGAGCAGAATTATTTTTTTTGCTTTGCTTCTGCAAATCTACAGTATTAATATTTCTTTTTTGCTTCAAACTGACTGATTTTCCTGATGATGTACTTTTTGATGCGTCACTATTAAACCTGTAGAGTTTTTCTGAAATAATTTCCACATCAGATTCTGAATTGGTTGAAAAACTGGCATATTTATCTTCATTAAATTTATTGAGCTCATTTTTATTTTGATTGACTGTAGCAGAAATTCCTTTCTTCTTATTTAATTTAAGAGATAGTTTATTACTTACTTGCATTTTTGAATGGGAATCATATAAATGAGTTGTTTCTTGACTCTTCATAGCTTTATTTAAGATTTTATGAGATTTTACATTTGCATCCCCTGATTTATCATTCCATTTCTTACTAGTCTCATAAATAAAAACTACATCATTAGACTTATCATCATTGTCAACAATCACCTGATCATTATCCACAAACTGATTTTTACATGCAGTACGGCTCTTGCTTAATTTAGATGGTAATTTACTATCTTTAAAATCAGATCTTTTTATGTTACCTTTTTTTCTGTTTAAGGAATCCACATCAGATACAACTAATTGTTTGGGAACAGAGGAAGTTGAATACTTTTTTGAATCAGTAGCTGTAATAGAATATTCTCGGTGGAATAGGTTTTCTGCACTTGAATTATTCTTATCTTGCATAGGCTTAAGTTCAGGTATATTAACAAAAGAAACAGTACAACTCTCTTGTTTTGTCATAGAAAGCTTTGGGTCAATAGAGTATTTTGATAACAAATTTGCACAGTCAACTAATTTAACATATGGGCAGTATTTTGAAGACATATCAAAAGTATTAGAATACTTTTCCTCACTTAAATTACTTTGAGATGAAGACATTTGATCAATAACTCTATTGTCTGATGACATGCTCAACTTCACCTCTTTTAACTTGGAATTGTTTTCGTTTTTTTCTTCAAGTTGTTTTTTAGATTTGCTGCGGAATTTGGAACTCCTATACATTCTCAAGGAAAATCCACTTTCAGAAATATTACTGTCTTTTTGAGCCTCTTCACTATTTAATTCCTTTTCTTCAGAATTTGCTGGAATAGTTTTGTTTTTTAGTATAGACGCACATTCAAGAACATTACTATTATTTTGAAGCAATTTATTGTTCGATTCTTTTTTTGCAGAAATTTTTGGAATAGTTTTTCTATTCTGTGCAAACTTATTTTCAGAAATAATACCATTATCTTTTTGACAGTCCTTATTGTTCAATTGCTTTCCTTCAGAATTCTTTGAAACAGTTTTTCTTTTCAGTACAGATGCACTTTCAAGAACATTACTACATCTTTGGAACTCTTTAATGTTCAATTCTTTTCTTTCAGAATTTTTTGGAATAGTTTTACTTTTCTGCACAAATTTATTTTCAGAAATACTACTACTGCCTTTTTCAGAGTCCTCATTGTGCAACTGCTTTTGTTCAGAATTCTTTAGTTCAGTTTTTCTTTTCAGAACAGAAGCACTTTCAGAAATATTACTATCCCTTTGAAGTTCTTTATCATTCAGTTCCTTTGAGATAATTTTTCTTTTCTGCAAACGTACATTTTCAGCAATATTCTCTCTTTCAGAGTCTTTATTGTTCAATTCCTTTTCATCAGAATTCTTTGAAATATATTTCTTTTTCTGTGCAAACTTATTTTCAGAAACAACACTGTTGGCTTTTTGACAGCCTTTATTATTCAACTGCTTTTCTGCAGAATTCTTTGAAACCGTTTTTCTTTTCAATACAGAAAAACTTTCAGAAATAATATTATTATCACTTTCAGATTCTTTATTGTTTAATTCCTTTTCTTCAGAATTATTTGGGACAGTTTTTCTTTTCTGCAAAGACAGATTTTCAGAAAGATTCTCTCTTTGAGAGTCTGTACTATTAAATGTCTTTTCATCTGAAGTCATTGAAACAGATTTCTTTTTCTGTACAAACGTATTTTCAGAAACAACATTATTGCCTGTTTGAGAGTCCTTATTGTTTAACTCCTTTTCTTCAGAATTCTTCTTAACAGTTTTTCTTTTCAATTTAGAAAGATTTCCAGAAATATTACAATCACTTTGAGATTCTTTATAGCTCAATTCCTTTTCTTCAGAATTCTTTATGACATTTTTTCTTTTTTGCAAAGACACATTTTCAGAAATATTATTCTCTCTTTCACAGTCCTTATGCAATTCCTTTTCATCAGAAATATTTGAAACAGTTTTACTTTTCTGCATAGATGCATTTTCAGAAATATTACTATCTATGACAGACTCTACATTGTTCAATTCCTTTTTCTTAGAATTCTTTGGAATAGTTTTTCTTTTCTGCACATTTGAAATGGAATGTTTTTTCCTCGATAATACAGCTTCACCAATGCTAATGCAATATTTACTTTCTATGCCTTGATTTTCATTCACAGTATTAGAATCATTTTCAAATATATTAATTTTAGAACTGAGTTGTGATGTTTGTTTAGTATTAGATTCACTAGTAGTTTCCTTACAAAAATTGACTGGTTTTACTGCTTTTTGTTTTTGTGTCTTTTTGGTGTTAAGTTCATCTTCCTCTACTTCTTCTGACGCAGTTTTTCTTTTCTTTAATGGAGAACTGAAATTTTCATGTTCAGCTAATACGATACCACCAACCTGTATCAATGCCTTTCTTTTAATTGTTTGTCTACCAGATTTTCCCCCACTATTAGAAAGACTTTTATGCACATCAGTTTTACTTTCCATATGATTAGAAGTTTGTTCCGTAACTGTGCATACTTTGGAATTTATTTGACGTGATAAGTCATAAGAGAAATGTGAGTTTTGTTTCTGAGATTTGGAATCATGCTTACTGTTTTTCTGATGAAAAATATTGTCCATTTCAAAACCTAAAGTTAGCTTTAGCTTATCTTCTGCTTCAAATCCAGGATTTATAACATGCTTAGATAACAAAGTTTGATCATTAATAAGTACAACAGAACAATCTTTTGAATATTCAGAATCTAGAACAAAATTCTCAGAAGATATTCTGGACGAGTTTGTTTTTTGGGTATCAACAGATGTAGGTTTCTTAGAAGCAGAATAATTTCTATTATTTTGAAGACATATTTTTTGCTTAGTGCAAGATGTATCACAATTGGAAGATTTATTTTTTGCATCTACATTTCTTTTATTAAATTGCCTTTGTATTACATTACACTGTTTTTTAGAAGAAGAATATGCTTTGCTATGTGATTTTTTAGGCTGGGTGGCATTACAGAATATTTCATTCTGAATATTGTGCTTTAAAGTTTGGGTTTCTGTAATTGAGACTGATACATTATTTACATGTGAAATTTTATGAGCGACAACATATTCATCAGTCAATTTTTCCAAGACAACCACTTCTCTCCCTATTTTAGAGAAATCAATACACTGTATACAGATATCATTGCCATGATCACATATTTTATTTTCAAGCAAATTGTTATTGTTTTCCGTTTCTTTAGGGTCTTTTTGATTCTTTAATACTACAGATGATAGGTGTCCAGTTGGATTTGTTAAAATTTCTGTTGAATCCTGAGTGCTTCTTTTAACAAATCTCTCACTGACTTTACACTTTAACTTACGTAAATGCTCTATAAAAGCACCTTTTTGTTTAAATTGATGTGCCAAAGATTTGGAGCATTTTGCTTCAAGCAAATTATGTTCCAATGCATTTGAAGAATACTTTTCTTTGTTAACATGCTTCTGCATTTCAAGAAGAGGCATTTCATTATTACTTAGAGCTTCTATTTTTGAAAGAACATTTGACATAAATTCATCAACAACTAATGAGACTTCCTCTTCTTGATCTTCATCTGCTGGATTTTTCTTATCAAAATTTAAATCTGAAGAATATTTACAGGTATTTTTTACCACATAAGAATTGACATTTTTAGAAATATCGCTACAAACAGAATCAGAAGAACTCGGATTAGAATGTATGGACTTCTGCTGCCCCGATAAAAGAGGAATACAAACAGAGATATTTGAATCTATTTTTTCAAGAAGAGGGCGTTTATCAAGCTCTTCAGAAGAAAATTTAGTACAATTTTCAACTTGACCATTCCCCTCCCATTTCACAGGTACCATAGGCAGTAAAACTGGTGGTTCCTCACTATCTTCTAAAACCCGATTCCGAACCGGAGGATTAATATGATTCTCTTCTTTCAAAAGTTTAGGACCTGAAATACATAAATGAAAATGATTTAAAACCAGGTAATATTCTGTTTGTTTTTATCAATTAATGTACAGTAAAAGTATATATTTCAGTTTTATGAAGTTCCAAATTATCCTTTACCCTTTTATTCACATAAAAATTCCACATAAATCTGTACTTTCTTTAGGAACATTTATGCGAAAAAAATGTGTTTTAGAAATCAAATTAGTCAAAGTGGTATTTTATGTTCTCTTTAATTTTTACATAATTTCAAATTGATGTCAATTTTTGCTTCAATGAAATAAAAAATTTAAATTTCACTAGTTTGAAACTATAATTATTAAATTTTAATTATTTCTTATACTTAAAATTTAAAACCAAAAACCCGAAGGAAAAATATATAATTTATTAATACTGGCTCAGTAACTGAAAATAATATGAAACAAAAATACAGTAAACCCTTGCTGAACATGGACTTAAGGAATGTTATTTTTCATACATGCACTATCTTAATAAAGAGCTTTTAATGTTCAAGACGTTAAACAAATTGTTAAAAAGAGGCACAGGAATTATCTGACTTAGACTGCAATGGAGATTGACCCTAATGAAGAAAGAAAGAGGATACTTTATGAGAAGTATTGAGAAACTTTACACTCCTTATGAACTATTTCATGAGCTGTGTCACACATTGTCTCAAGTGAAAATCACCATCTATTAAAAAAAAAAACAATTATATCATGTATCCACTGGTATAATTGATATAATGTATGTACCCTATCAAAATAGCCTAAAGAAATTAAAAAAAAAAAAAAAAATCTTCTGAATTGGGTCCAAACAGTTTTTAAATTTTTAATATCTAAATACATGATATTAAAGAGAGCCATGGCATATGTATAAATCAGTAACTACATCATGCATGCAAACATTATTAAAAAAATATACATGCTCAAGCTTGATGTTGTACATATATTTACATATGCTGGCTGATAGACAAATCTTATTAAAAATGTTTTAGAACCATTTGTCAAGTAGGGTGCCATAATAATAATTTCCACATGTAATAAAAAATGCAGTGATACTCTCTGCTTTGTATCATGGTGTACAAAAGTTTGGTATCCTCTGGCTTATATTCTAAATTATAATTGTCACATAATTTACATGTTTTGCACAAAAAAGTAAAGTATTGCAATCACCTTCAAATATGAGTGTCAATAAACACTGATTTTGTTGTTTTTGCTGGTCTTACATGCCTTGTTTTTGTTTTAAAAGTACATAAAATAAATAATTTATTTTTAAATACTAAAGCTGGAAGTAAATTTGTTGAACGATACAAAAAGCTGATATTCGCACAAAATGTTTTTAGAACCGAACTAGAAATAACATATTTATATATTTAAGCTATTCAGTTGTGGGCTATTTTGCCATAGGCTATTTCATTGCAGCATTTTTGATGGGTGCCTACTTATTTAATAGTAATAGAAATTCTTTCAAATAATATTTGTTTCATTTCCTCCTTTTAATTACTCTAATATTTAGGTTTGCATAAATTATACAAATTTTCTTAATCTGGACTATACCTAGTCGATCTTTTTCACAGGAAAGTTTGCAGAATGCAATTTTGCCATAAGTGTAATGCATTAATGACATAACCCCAGAATTTGGCAAGGGTTTGCTGTCATGTTAAGTATTTTCACTATAAAAACAACACAAAATGGTAGAAGCAAAATCAGTCACTGGAATAATTTATTTAAAAGAATTCTAGAAGTTTGTCTTTTGCATTTTATTGAATATATTTCTTTCTTTCTTTCTTTTTTGAGTTTAAAATAAAAAGGAGGAAAAATTAAAGCAATTTTATAAAATGAAAATGAGGGCATTAAATTTTTTATATGAATTATTGTTAAATCGAACGAGTTCAGATTACATAGACATCTCGGAAATATTCAATTAATATGTGATTATAAAAGGTTTTAAGAAATTTTTTTAATGATATCATAAGGAGGCATAGGCAAAAAACCAATTATTATTCTTCCACTGATATTAGAATGAAATACAAAATCAATATCAATTTATTTATAAAGAAAAATTACCAAATTTTTCAAATTCTTCATCAAAAGCACCATCTAGTTGTGGAATGAATGAATTTCCTTGAATTGCTGACAGTGATTCACTGATGGATCTATTAAACAATAATGAAGTGTTTTTTCTGGGAATTTCTTCAGACATGCTTTCAGGGCTAATGTTTTGAGAGGCCCAAATTTCTTCCCCTAATTCATCAGAAAATATTTGAGACATCTCAAAAGTTTCAAAATCATCATTATTTTCCTCAGAATTACTCATTTGAACACCTAAACCAAGTATGCTGTCATCCTCAGGCTGATTTGATTGGTTATCCGCCATACTTAAAATCATCCCCAACAGTTCATCATCTTGAGTGGTAGCTGCAATGTGAATAATATTAAACATTATTTAAATTATGTTTTTCTCATATGCATGCATTAAAATGTTGTATATAACACATACTTTATTTAATTCCAATATAAACTCTCTGCTCTTGAGAAGAAATCATTAGCATGCCCTACCGAATATTTCACATCAAAAGTAAATAAAAAACTTATGTTCAAATAATTTTTGCACATTTTAAAAATTGCATTACTTCTTTTTGGGAATAAAAAGAAAATCAGTAAAGCAATAAATCAGGCAATCAATAGCATACCTTATTTATTCTTCATTAAAGAATTTTTTTAAGCACAACCATTTTAGATATATTATTTCTTTATGATATTTTAATATCCAGATTATTTTATTTCTTGATTTGCTAATTACATCAAGGCATTTACGAGCTATCTGCCAACGGGAAAAATCTTTGAAGTGGATCTTATTTATGAAATTATGCATGGCTTTACATTACACAAGGTGAAAACCAGACAAACATGCACCCAGCAAAGTATTTTCTCATTGCGACCTTAAACCAGAGTAAAATTGGCAAAGTTTAACAGATTCAAACTTTTAGTGCATTAATATAATTGATTAAATTTGAAAATGAATATGCTAAATAACATTAACACGGAAAAATAAGGATTAACTTGTATACCATCAAGAACTATTTTAAGATGGTGGCTGAGGTCACAGGCCATACAATATGCTTTAATTATACAGTATTAACACTAGAAAGAAGATTATCATGATTTTAATGATTTCAGATTTACTTTAGAGTGCTACACCTTTATTTGTGGGCTCAGGCAGCTGAAGATTTTTGATTTTTTCAAACGTTATGCATTATAAATACACACATAGCCTTTACAAAATTTAAATCAGTTATGGAAAAACAAATGCTGTATACCTATTCAAACTAGAGCTGAACAAGTCTTCAACCTGTTTTCCACAGAACCCAAAAGTTCTGCGAGTCAAAAAAGTTTTTTTTTTTTTTCTTTTTTGAAAAGAAAATTATAAAGCACTCACACTAGTTGACTATTGTTTATTAATTAGAAAATACAGAGAAGATTTATAGATTAATTTTAAAACTTAACATATGGCCATCGTGTTTCAAAGAGAATGGCATACAATGCTTTGCAAAACTAAAGCAGTTTTCTAATGGAAAATGAAATGAATTTAGATGACAATGTTAAAAATTATAGAATTAAGCATCTTTTCCATTGAAGAAAACTATACGAGAATATTTTTCAGGAGATTAAGTACAACTTGATAAAACATCCATTTGAGTACTATGATAAACCAGAAAGCTTGCCAATGAAGGAAAAAGAACAACTTATCAACATATCAACAGACTCAATGCTGAAATCTAAATTAAGCAAAAGCAACTTCTAAATTTTTGGTTGTAAATTCATGCAGAATTCCTAGAAGTTTCTCAGATGGCTATAAGCATTTTAATGCCATCCAGAACAATGTATTTAAGTGAAAAAAGTTTCTCAACTTTTCTTTCTAATGCAAGAGTATGTGATACCTAGATCATGAGTTAACATAATTAATGAGTAAATTACATTAAATTTATATAAAAAGATTTTAATACAAGATGCAACATATTTTTTTAATTGTTTTTACCTAAAGTACCTGCAACAACATTGACCTATTTTCAAATATTATTTTCCTATGTGTATGATGAAGTTCCCTGGGGGGGGGGGAACAACAACACAACAAAAAAAAAAAAAAAAAAAACTTATAGTTCTAAGAGTTCTACGAATCAACACAGTCTGAAGATCACTGGTCTAGAGCCATCATTTTCATATTATGGAAAACAAGCACAAATATTTAAAACAATCCCATAAAATGTTGCTGCATGAATAGGTTTTTCAAAATCTGAAAAAAGTTGCAAGAGATGGCATGATGTGGACACCTAACACAAGCCAACTAGAATACTTTCAGCATCAAAATATATAATTGAAATCTGTTGGAATAATGACATATGCAAGAGAAATGTGAAGAATGAAACTGTCACAAATTCATTACAGTTATTTATAGTTGCATTAAACAGCAGAATAGTTAAAGAAAGTACTGAAACAGAAGCTTGTTGGCAACTTCAAAAGTTACAACTAATCAATGTCCCTAGATAGCTCAATGTTTTTTTTTTTTTTTTACTTCTTTTGTATGCTCAAGGAGAATTCTTCTTCAAACTTTTAACCTTTTGATGGTCATCAATGAGCCCAGCTCACATTTCAGTTATACATCACAATGGGTACAATCGAATACAGCTCATATGGCAAATTTACGATTGACAGATATTGTGCATATCTGAGAAGAAAAAACTGTTAATCTTGCAATCATCGAAATGTTAACATTAAAGATAATGGCAAGAAAGTGCCTCATATTGTGGCATTACATACATGGTACCTATACGAATATATATTTACAGAAACATTGTGCTGACATTCTTGAAAAAATTGCCAGAAAATATTCAATAAAAGCGGGAAGTTGCAGATGGCTAATGCACATGTTCCATATTATTTTAGATTTGGCTGCAATCAATACTTGGATGGTGTATAAAGAAGTTATGGAAAGCAAAATGCTTAACACAGACTTCTTTACTATAACCTTTGAATACAAATGTAACAGATCAGTTAGTGGAGAGTAATTAAAAGCAATTACAAAAAATAATATTGACTGCAGTATGTGGAAATGCAAATATCGCTTATTAGAACTTGATTAATTAAAAAAAAGTTGAACATGTCTTTTCGCTTAATGATAGCACTATATAATCTACACACATTTCATTTCAAATTAATGTAATTCATAAATTTCATTTTTCCTATATTAACAATGCATAATTTCACAAATATGTTCTCATGTGTTTAAGTGCAAATATCATTCACTTTTATTTAAAATGTTTTCTTGGATCTCATTACATATGCTCATAAAAATACTGTACCCAAATATATGACAGTTTAATGTTTGCTGGTGAAAAATAATTCTAAATTAAAAATATTGAATCATTATTTGAAAGAAATAAAATATGTTAACTATATTATATTGGTGATTTCAATTCAGCCCATTAAAATGATGGTTTTAGACGTTTTAGTAAAAGCAAAATCCCATCTTTCTAGAGCTAAGGAATAAGCCTTGAAATAATAAAGTATTATTTCAAAATATTAACTACTAATATTTTATTCTATCTCTAAAATAGTTTTTTATAACACAAAGACCAAATATTGGGCTATACACATAATAAATTCAAAATGCCAATTTCGAATTAGCTCCTACTGAGAAAGGATTTGCTCAATCTTGATTTTTAATACGGAATTAATAAATGCAAACTTGGCAAGGAAGGGGAAACATATAGATTTTGCACTTTTAAATCAATGAGCAAAAATAATAAATAATGAAAAATTTACTAATTCCTTCTTTCCTGACATGAAAATTATCTTCAATGCAAAATTTTAAACTTTACTTTTTGATCAATGAATATTAAACCACAAAGAGCACATCAGGGTTACTTGCCTAAAAAGAAGGATGTTTTTGAAGAAAAGTTTGTATGCAAAGTTAGCTAAAATTCACATTATATATATCACGTTGATTTGGTTGATAATAGCTATCTGCCTCCCAGAAATGCAAATCAGTTAGTGAGAGAGTATTTAAACTGAGGTTTCTGGATTGTGAGACAGAGCGTGTTTTTGCCTCTTGAGGTTTTGTCAGCTGATCAGACTGCAATTCTTTGGTTTTGCGTTATTCCTGCCGACATTTAATTGTTAACCCTTTGCGGCACAGTGTGTCCGGTCTGGAAACACCTAAAAATTTCCTTCTATATACACAGAAAAATTGAATGAAAAAGGATTTATAGGTTACTCTGAACCCTTCTTTATTTATAGTAGATGGCAGCTCAACACAAACCAGTCCATATATTTTACCCATGTTTAGTTTTTTAAGACCCTCATTTTTCAAAGAAATCTTCAAGATTTTTTTTTTTTTAGGTTATAAAAGGAATTGTTTGAAAAGAAATTTCTATGTTATTTTTTTGGTTCTATATTAGTTTTAAATTTTTACCTTGAAATCTCGCCTAAAATCAAACGCAAACCCTAGGTGTGCCCAGACCGGGCTCACCGATAATCTAGGACAACTGAGAGTCTGTATTCTTTGTTTCTGCGCATCTCATCAGTCAGTTCATTGACAACAATGCTTATTTCAGCACTCTTTTCAAAGCTCTATTCAATCAGTGTGCCCTCTTTAGGCACACCCACAGAAATAAACGATAAGTGCTATCTTCACAAAAATTTTACTTGTGTACTCCTCTAGGTCTAATTAAACTGCCTACCTTCTTTTTTAATCAAAACTCCAACTTTAAAAGGTAACGTGCCGAAAAGGGTTAACTGGTGAGAAGTTCTGTGCCAACTTAGAATTTAAAATCAATTGTGTAGGCCTTGACTATTACTTTTACATTATATCGCCACAAGTGGTGGTTGATCCTGTTAGCATGTGAAGTATGCTTATGTTAAAGTTTTGATTTCATAAAAAAGGTTATTTTAACCTTCTCGAGTCTCTGTCATTAACTTAAGATCAAGCAATAATTTACTCCAAGTCTATTAGGAATTTGAAACTAATTTATGCTGCCAAAGAAAGTTAAAAAATTTATAAATTTCTCAAACCACCTTTGAACTGTCATAAAAAAAAAAGCACTTTGTTCTTATGTAGCATAAATTTTACAAGCAGTCTGATAAACCTTTTTCTTTCTCTCTTTCCTTTTTTTTTTTTTTAAATAAAAGAGCATAATATCATCAAAATGAACTTCTGGACTCACCATTCTTAGAACTACAATGAAACAAAACTCAAAATACATGCTAGAACTACATAATGGAAGCAGTAAAGACCATATTTAAACATTTGCTTTGATTAAGGTCATTCCTTATCAACAGATAATGCACTTGAAAAATAACAGAACTTTCTGGATGA